TTAGTAGAGGGGGCCTTTTAAAAAAAATACAACAGCATTTCTTCTTTCTCTAGGGTGGGGGGGATTAATATAAAAAAAAAAAAAAGGGGGGTTTAATAAAAAATCCTCTCTCTTATTGTGTGGGGGGGAAAAGAGAGAGGGGGGGTAATAAAACACAAAAAAAAAAGAGGGCGGGGGTGACGGCGTTTATTTCAAAACCCCTTATATTTACACCTATTATTTTTCTTAGGGTGGGGGGGGGGGGCGCTGAGCCCCCGCGGGAAGTGCAGAAAGTGGGGAATGCGCCCTCGCGTTTCCTCTCACGCCCCCCCGTTCCGCAACGCGGCTGGAGTTTCTAAACATGGAGTTTCCACGGGACTTTGCCAGGCGAGCTCGCAGCCCTCCCGAGTCCCCGCAGCGGGATTCGCCAAGTCGGCGGCGCCGCACGGCCTCCGCGTCCCCCTCCCCTCGGGGAGCCGCCGACCTGGCCTGACTCCCGCAGCTCCGCAAAGCCGCTCCGCGGGGCTCACCGCCCGGGAGGGCGCGGAACCTCCCGCGATCGGCGCCCCGGCCCGACCCCAGGCCCCGGCGGGTGGCAACCGGGCCTTGGCGGGGCGCGAGCCAAGCCTGCCCGCGAGCCAGGCCTGTCGGTTTGCCGCCCCCGGCGCTCGGGGCCCGAGACGCGGGGGTCGCCGAGGCGGCGGCGGGCCCAGGCTGGGCGCGTTGGCGGCCGGCGCTGGGTTTCTGTTTTGTTTTGAAGCCGGCGTGGGGGAGGGGCGGCACCTTGTCAATGAGAAATTTCCTGTTCGCAAGACTCCGCTTGCAGAGTTTCTGTCCTGCCCTTGAACTGACAAGAGGGTCTCGGCGGTGCGGGTCCCCGAGAGCCCAGCCAGGCGCGCCGAGCGCGCGCGGGGGTGGGGTGGGGGCGGGGCGTCCGCGCCGCGGCTCCCCGGCCCCGGGAGTCCGGCCGAGCGGGGCCGACGCCTGCCCTCCCGGTTCCCGGGCGCACCCGCGAGCCGAGCCGAGCGGTGACTAATCTGCGGCTTTCGGCCTCTTGGCGCGGCGCCCAGGCTCGCCTCCCGCCCCCCCGCGCCCCCCGCCGCCCCCCGCCGCCCTGGCCCCGCAGCCTCAGGCTCAGGGGGGAGAATCGCGCGGGCCAGCGCCGCCGCCGCGTTCCCGGGAGTGTGGGAAGCGGGTCGAGGCGGGCGGCTCCGAGCCTCTCTCCGAGGCGGCTTTCTTCGACCCAGGCCCGAGGACGCGCGTGTTTCCTCCCCCGTAAGCACTCTGATCGGCGCTTCCTCCGCCGCCGAGGAGCCGGGCGAACCGGAGAGGTTAACCCCCTGCGTGCTGCCCCACGGGGGGCTCCGTAGAGAGGGCGCCGCAGGGAGACGGGTCGGCGTGGGGGCGATCAGTTGAGTTGGGCCAACCGGAGTCT